TCCGGAGCCCATGAATTTGCAAAACTTGTAGATGATCAAAATTTTGGTTACACTGTTTAGACTTGGTCGGCCATGAGGGAAATATCTAGCGATGATTTCTTTGTTTTCTTTGAGGTGAAGAAGATTCATGTTTAACTTCAGATCAAATTTTCGTTCGATTTAGCATGAAAGCACGCCTTATGGTTGTTCCTGTTTAAGTGGATACTTCTTAAAAAGAATAAATATTTACTTGACTTTTCTACGGTGTGGATCGGAGACAATGACTCGAGCTTCTAGATTACGTTTACTTAGCATTGACTTCGCTCGACTTGATTTCAGTTTTAATGACGACGATTTTCTGGGTACAATTTCTCTTGAGGTGTATGTACTCATTGGAGGTCGGGGTATTCCTGTCAGGGTCACCATGACTTTTGCGGCCTGAAAACAACGTTCAAGTGAGATCAAAATTAGCCTAACTCCTTATTTTTCGTTTAGGCAAAAAGAGGAGTCAACCGTTATCAATCATGGTTTGATAGATGGAAATTTCTCCTAATCCGAACCTTAAAAAATGTTTTAGCCTAAATTTCATTTACTTCTTTTGCCTTGTTATTTTGATGGTTAAACATTTCAGGAAACAACAGTTGTACCTCATTCATTGTGCATCTGCTTGCTGGATCCCTTAACCAACATCTCGTCTCTACTAATTTTACCACTGAAATGTTCATCATACTTAACTCTTGTATTTAGTATAATTATGCTATGAACGAACCTCCTGGATCTGTTTCTGGTGGAAACTTGTTGTGCTTACCTTGCAACATCATCTCTTTTACTTTTGCATTAGGAAGACCTTCGTAAGGGATGGCCGCATTAGTCATGATTTCCCATACTAAATTTAAGCAGAATCAACAGCAGGTCGGAATTCTGTTTTTTTTTAAAAATTCCTTTTAAAGCAACTTCAGATGATGCATCCGCAATGAACTACCGGAATATCCATTAATCAAATATTCAAAACCGATAAATTATATGCATTGCGGATGCTTTATCTGAGCTGCTTTGAAAGGAAATTTTTCCAAAAATAGACTTCCAAGCTGCTGTTGATTCTACTTAGAATCATTTCATAAAACCTCAGGAGCACATAAATTTTATAATCTGTTGATAAACAACACATTTCTCAATGACTCATTGTGAAAAGGCAGTATGATTGTAGTTTAGATATGAAAAAAAA